CTAGTGAGTAGCGTTGTGACTCCTCAGCGATAAGTACTAATCTAGGTAGTCACCGGTGAGTAGCATTCCGACTCCTCACCGATGAGTAGTATTCTAGCTAGTCACCAGTGAGTAGCATTCTGCCTACTCAGTGAATAGAATTTTAGCTTGTAGTCTGTTTAATATACTTTGCACAGATCAGCTTGGCGCTTGTATTGCATTGCATCTGTTTGCTGTCACTCAGTGCATTCAGGCCAGGAACTATTCCTTCAAAATAACATTTCCTTTTTATTTTCTTCTGTCTTTTATAGCCTGAAGAAACATCGATGAACTTAGATAAGTCAGATACCAACCTCACCCTGTTTGGCTATGTGACGGACATGTCCTCCAAAGCCATAATCATGGTGGTGGATTTTGCCAAGAAACTACCCGGGTTCCTGGGCTTAACCACCCAGGACCAGATCACATTACTCAAGGCAGCGTGCCTGGAAATCATGGTAAGGGGTCCAGCAGGCAAGCATCTGTGGTATTCCAGTGCTAAGACATAACCCCAACCCTTAGTTCTGTGAGGTGTTTTTGCTACTTACCTCGATGGAATTGAGACGTCTGACATGATAAGTACAGTCCCAAGTCCAATTTCAAATGCTGCAACATCAGGCTTGTATTTGAGCTTATCACTAGTCCAGTCAGAAGTCCTTTCACAAAGTAGCGGGGTGCGCAGTGACCGGGGAATGCTTTGGTCGCAGTTCACTTGAACAGCATGTGACTCAGCTCAAGACTGGATGACTTGTATGGGACAGGGACTCATAATGGATTCAGCTACAGCCCTTGACAAAATCCAGGAGTAAACCTGTGATGGCTTGAGGTTGGATTTAAAAAATATTTTCCCGTCCTTGTGCTCCTGATTTAGCAGTGTCAGCTAAGTTCAAGTCTCTTGCCCTTTTCATTCCAAGCAAATTGAATTAATCAATGCACACATAAATGACGAATGAGGCCGAATTTCCCTCAGCCCCTGTGACTTTATAATTTCCGAGTCTTTATAAGAGATCGCAGTTAATGGGGGGGGGAGCAGTAGTTCTGGGAACCTTGTACCCCAGCTCTGCTGAATAATCATCGCGCAGCAATTACTGTGAGTATCTAATGCTCTTAGATACTCAACTTTAGCCGTACAGCCAATTCCAAGAGACTAGATGGAGCCTTCTTCTGGCTTTAAGCATGTGAGAGACTATGGGTAGGATGTTTGGGTCGTACCTGTATCGTGCAAGTGGCTTAAAACCAAAAAGCTGTGAGCAAGAAACGACATGATTCTTTTGCCATTATAGGGACCCTGGATTGCAATGTGATTTTTTTTTTTTTTTTTTTTTGCTTTGATTGGTTTGTTCTTGATGCCGTTAAAGATCGTGGCAGAAAGAAATTCATGCACTGTTTTTATAAGCTGGGCAGTTTCCATGGAAAGTCACAGGCCTGGCATCTACTGCCCACACCTGACTTACTTTGCTTAGCATCCTGCTTGTGCTCCCCCCCCCACCAGATTCTCAGGATTTGCTCCCGTTTCAACACGGAAGACGGCAGCGTCACCTTCACCAGTGGCCTTAAGCTCAGCCACCACCAGTTGAAGAGCGGTGGTTTCGGTGGGCTGCTGGAGCCCATCCTGCAGTTTGCCTTGGCACTCTCCAAGCTCAAGATTGACGAGACGGAGGTGTCCTTGCTCTCTGCTATATGTCTCATCAGTGGAGGTAAAAAAATATGGGAAAGGAAATTATCCATTTACTCTTTGTAGCTGTTTGATCCTCAGTTGGGCAAGATATTTCCATAGTCACAGACGCGATATACTTTTAGTCTGCTTCTAAAAGTCTTGGCATCAACCAAAAATAATGCTCTTAGATACTCAACTTTAGCCGTACAGCCAATTCCAAGAGACTAGATGGAGCCTTCTTCTGGCTTTAAGCATGTGAGAGACTATGGGTAGGATGTTTGGGTCGTACCTGTATCGTGCAAGTGGCTTAAAACCAAAAAGCTGTGAGCAGAAATGGCTGATTGTAGGTACATGTACTTTGATGTTGATTTGGACATGGTCAAGTGTTTTGGTCAGCTTGATCCTGTTTAAGTGTCCTGTTCAGTTGGGTACAGTGGGGTTTTTTGTTCATTTTATTGTGGTTGTATTGATACAGATCCAGATGTTCATTTTTTTGAGTGTTTTTCTTTTCGGGGGATGACTCATTTTAGTATTTTCTATGGACTTTGTGTCCTCGACTGATTCACAACTAAACTTGGAGTTAGGCTGGTTGCACAAAATGACAGACTAAACAGAATTCTCTGAGGTACATGTATGTTCAAAAATCATTCAGTTTCTTCTTGTCAAGGTTGGGAATTCATACTGGTATTAGATAAGCGGACACAAATATTACTTCGGAGGTTTATGTGTTCAGCAAAGATCAGTGGAACTTTCTTGTTGTAGGAAATGTGCATCACGTGACGCTGTGACTTCTGACTTGTTTTGGCAGAGCAAGTGTGTACTCTGGTCGATTGTTTATCACAGCTGTTGCCACTGATATCTGTCTTACCAAACAGATCGCTCCGGCTTGGAGAATCCAGTTGAAATTGAGAAACTTCAGGAACCCCTTCTGGAAGGCCTGCGACTCTACGTCAAGAAACGCCGCCCCCTGGAACCCCACATCTTTGCAAAAATTCTAATGAAGATCACCGACTTGCGGAGCATCAGTGTGAAGAGTAAGTACAGTTCCAGTTGAAGGTTGTTTGGGAAAACTTTTTTGGAACATTTGGTACCAATGACTCAGTGGAATCCTCGGCCGTAAAGTTGAATTCTTCATAATTAAGATTCTATTTATCCCAACCTTTAAATCTTGTTGTTTGTCATTGTAAAAGATACTTTATTCGCACCACTGTGGGGTGAAACAGATTCTTGTAAAGGTAGAGATAGTTGTTAATTCTCTTTCCTTCGAGGTACTATCATTCAAATGTTTACACCTTAGAAAACAGAACTTGGCCTGAGAAAATCTTCATAGGCCAACGAGCAGCACCTTTATTGATACGTGCCCCTTATGTAGCCATATTTTTTCATCTTGCCATTTCTGGTGAATTGGCTCAGTAATCCCCTTCTAGCTCTTTAAGTATTATCTGGGCATGGTTGTGTAACTTCTTCCATGTGTATCCCAAATAGGTGCAGAGAGAGTGCTTAACCTCAAGCTAGAATTACCCAACAAATTCCCGGCCCTCATCAATGAAATGATCGACAGAGCTGACAACCAGTGAAAAGACAGGACAGCTGATGGTGCATGGAATAAGCCAATAAGATCCACTCAAACTTCTTAGATACGAAGATTTGTTTGAAGAGTTCGAATGCAAGTTTCCCAAGGAAGTGAGCAAACAAAGAGGAATTTTAAACACCTTAACAACTGCTGGAAGAACTTTTTGGAATCACGTATAGTTTGTTTGTTCAGTATTTAAGTACCCTCCGCATTGTACGCAATCATTTTATTTTACGGGACCGCCCAAGGAAAGAGTTTTGTGCTAAATGACTTGTAATGAATCCCTTATGTGTGAATGTGTAGATTCTCCGACCACATAACCTGTCTGTAATGAAACAGCCAATCAGCTGGCATATTAGGGGATTTCTAAGTGCTTCAGTAACATCACACTTGTTTTTAATGAAATATGTTGGCATGTCTGAGTGTTCATGATGGAGGTCAAATTCCTGATTCTGGTTCAGATTACAAAAATCAAGACGTGCCCAGTTTAGTTGCCAGGAAGTTTTTAAGAACTGAAATTTGTTTGAAAATGCAAAAGAGATCTGTTTTAAAAACAGGTGAACATCTTCATTGACACTTTCTTTATTGATGATTTGCATGGATACTTGACTAAAAGTCGCCATTTATTGAGTGCACTAAAGTGGTTTTATTTTGTGATTTATTGTACATTTTTTCAGCTCTGAAGTGGGCAAGAAAAAAAAAAAAAGGAGTGAAATTCAGATTGGAAGGTTGTGACCTGTTGCGACAAGTGCTTGGGTTGGATTGATTCACAAGAGATGAGGGGAACAAAAAGATGTTGAGCACATAAACCCTACCCCGCTTGAAGCTAACTCTGAAAGTCTATTTCTACACATTAGCTTCTTAAATGCTTAAATGTGTGTTTTCATAGTGTATATAATAGTTCATATTAAGTATGTATAGATTGCAGACATGCCTATTGAGCGCATATGCGTACTTAAGAAGTATGCATCAAGATGTGACCATGTGGTGTGAAGACTGGACACTGCGTGTGGATATGTTCACAGGCCATGCACAGACTTCATCCCGAACCAAAGTAGTCTTTAAAATGTAATTTATAGCATTTGTATTTCCTGAGGGATTCCAACAGTTCATAGATTTGGTGATTTGACTGGATCGTGTATCTGATAGGCAGATATTGAGGATTTGTGTGCTATCTGCACTGAAGACAAAATGTCCTTGTACAGAGGCACGTACTAAAAGTGTTTCCCCGTGACTTTAACCTTTCACCACTTGGAGCCTCTCAGAAAAGTGCATTGTTCCCTGCCCGAGCATTTTGGATGTGTTGAAAGTTAGGGGCCAGGCAGGTCGCTGTTTGGTTTAAAAACCCCTTTTTTAGGAGTGGTCCCGTGCACGTCAGCCTCTTCAGCGGGTGCTGTATGGACATGATCGAAGGGGGTAGCACATTTTGATGGTTCCGTGCGTAACCGGATTGTGTACCAATGGCACCTGCTGCTGTGGGCATGTGAATCATGTGCAGTAATCCCACACAGTTAAAAGATTTCCTCGTTTCTCTGATTGTGTAACAGCTCATCTTGTGTTCCCCCCCCTCCCTGTTTGCTGTCAGCTTGGAGCTTTTGAAGCAGCTGTGCTGGTTTGAATCCTTGAAGCTAATGTAGGCATTGAAGTGACTGAACTGTGAATGCATCCTTGTGCTGTTGCATTTATTACTTGGCAAGCCACTGTGACATTTCATTAAAAATTTAGGAATCTCATTCCAGCAGATCTTGCAAATGCATATGATGAACGTGCCACGAACATGTACATAGGTTGCCCTATTTAAGACCATCCAACCACATGATCGCTGCACGTTCACAGTCCTCCAGTCATACAAGACTGTTCCAGATATTCTGCAGAATAGCCAGCTTGATACCTCTGTTATTCCTGAGGGCCCCAGCGTGTGGGGTTGTTGTGTGTGGGTTGGTCCATATTTGACCTTGATTTCCATACATAGCCATGACTTCCTGAGCAGACGGGAGACATTTTAGAGTGTCCATTATTTACCTGAGCTTGGTTCCACTCCTGTCATGTTAGAGATGCACTAGGTTTTGTGCATATTCCGCTGGAAACCAGTTGCTTAAACTGAGCACCATTCACTTACACAAAAGTGTGCGTGCATTTGCTAGCTTCTCATTTGGCTTTTGCTAGTATCCAGCCAAGTGCTGTAAACATGAGTTACAAGTCACCGGAGCCACTTTTAAGTTTTACTCTATTTTGGATTGAGGAATTTAACTCATTGCTCAGTTTATGATGAAAATAAACATTGTGTAGATATTAAAATGTTTGGTATTCCTGTTTCTTAAACACTGTGCAAGATGCTTTCAAAGGCCTTTAATTCAAAAGTGGCTCTGGGAGCATGTCAACTCATTTTTGCAGAGGGGGTCACAGTTATCCTACATGTACTGTGAATGTTACTCAAGCACAAAGTGTACTGGCTTTGGAGGGAGCTGATGTTGATTACATGTGAACACCTGAAATTTCTTCATGTTTGGTGACCTTTGCTGCATTGAGCTCTTCCAGTTCATTTTTTTAAATGAACATCTGAATCCAGCCTCAAGTGCCACCTTAAAAAGCCCAGTAATTGATTGCCTCTATATTCATAGAAACATCTCTTAGCTCAAACTGTGCTGGCTTTTTAAAGAGAGAACCCAAAATGCAAAGCTATCAATTTGAAATCATGAGATACATGCAATTGTAAACCACCTCAGCCTTTGACATGGCTCAAGTTGTTGGTAGCCAGTAATTTTACTCGTTCACATTCAAGTTGGGTGCCAGACAAGTGTCAATTAGTCAGGGTTTATGGCGGTCATCATGTCTTAGTATTCCTGAGGATTAGGATATCCTGTGCTTCTTTGTTTTGTATGAATGAAGTTTTTATATAGTGTGGGCCAGGACCTGTGTGTTAAAAAAAAGATTGAATTTTGGAGTTTTCAAGTTTCATAAAATTCCCCCTAAATTACACAACTCACCAAATGTCTTTGGATTCAAAATCATCAAATTTAAGAAGCCCCTGGATTGAAAAATCCTGTCTCGTTTGATCACTGTGTTGTTTGATCCATTGTTATTCACATGTCTATTCTTCCGTTTGGGATTCCTTGTTTTGGTGTCTTTTTTGCCGGTTTGTGCCACTAAAACCCTGATCAAATTAAAATTTCATCCAAGCAAGCTCCATGATCAAACTTTTCATTCTTTGTTACTGTAGACTGCTACTTTTTATGCTTGCTATTTTACCTGAAATTGTTTTAGAAGTGTTTGTGAACAATAGAATTATGGTAGTGTATCTTTTTGCTTCAGAACTGAAACAAATTGCCCAAATGTAGTATTTAAAATATTTATGACCATACCACTAAGATCTTATTGAGAGATGTTCAAATGCACACTAGCTACATTGTCATGTCAAATGTACATGTACTGAGATCCAAGAGTTTTTAAATAATTCCCCTTTAAACATAAAGAAATACTACACAAATACAAATTTATATTTTAGAATCATGAAGCTGTACATTATTGTAAATTTTTTAGATTTTTTTTTCTCTCTCTCTGTATTTTTCAGTCTCATTTGAAAAATGAGTGCCATATGTGATATGGAATCTTTGCCCCAAAGAGTGAATAGAGGTGAATCATGTGCCATAAATCGCCATAGATACCAGGCTGTATTTTTCCCCCCACATTTAGTCAGTCCTTTCCATTTTTCTCTGGCTTAAAGCTTTCCTATTGTGATTTGTTTTCTCTTACAAAGTATTACTCTTAGTGATTTATGGAAATTGGATTTTTTTGTGAAAAGAAATGTAGTTTTTTAAAGTCGGACAACTATTTGAATTCTATGTTTTTGCGTAAAGCCAATTGTGTTTATTACATTTCCCACTAACTTGGTTTCTTTGCACCTAGAGCAGAACATTATTTTAGGGAAACAAAATCTCTAAATCACAAAAATAGTCCTGGATTTTTTGAGGGATGTGCTTCATTGGATTTGGATACGTTTCCTACATAAATGTGTACATTTGTATCTTCTTCTTTTTTTTTAGAGTGGCATGTAGACTAAACCAAGTTTGGTTTTGGGCAAAAATTATTGCCTAAAACCGGAAAGACTCCCGGATTTAATGATTCAGTCGAGTTTAAGAAGTGAGAAAGTACATTTTCTTTATTCCTTCCAAAAGCACAGACAGTTTGCTAGACTTTGATTGGTCTTTAATATCAACTTTTGTCCATTTAAGTGTATCTTTGAAAACCTATTGCTTTTTAGTTGGTTTATTTTGTTTTGCTATTGATTTTATTTTTGTTGCTGAAATAGTTGATCTTGATCGGTATTGATTTGAAATACTGATCTTTTTTTGCCTGGAAAGATTCTTATAAAAGTTATCTTTTTTCTGATAACAACTATACTTGCATAACATTTTAAATGTAAACTTGGCTCTAATGAATAGGAAGGTTGAATGTCTTTTAAATGGCTCAGACTGAAAACAGTGACCTCTGTAACTTTTTAACTTTCACATTTGACACGTGAAGTAATTCTTTCCTTGTGACATTTACTGCACACACACACAAAGCGAAAACAAAATAATTCAAATAGACTGTACATGTAACTGTATTTCTGAGGTTGAAAAGAAAAGGTACTGGCATCATGAGGGTTGGAGTCCACTGTAAAATTTGTCATGGATTACAAAATCTGTTGAACAGTTCTACATAAGGGTGTATGTGTTTGTTGCATTTATTTTCATGTAATTCCTTCATCGGTAACCAATGGAACACCATATCAAGACCCTGTCAAAGAGGGCACCAGTGGAGCATTTTTACTTCCACATAATTTTTTCATCAGTAACCAGTTGAATACAAGATTTTTTCCAACACTAAATTTTCTAAGCTGAAGATCCAACTACTGGGATATTTTTAAGGTAATCATAATTGAGAGAATTAAATTGTAAATCAACCTTTGTTGAATGTGAGCATTGTCAGTGACAAATACAATGTTGAATTTAGTTGAATAAGGCTGATGTTTCATTGTTTCATTTATCTACTGTACATGTATCCAGATAAACGGTCATGTAAAGTATGCCCTTTTCATCCTTTTCATATGAATGAAATCTACTCGTTTCTTGTGTCCCTACATTTGTTGAAGATACAGTGTTTTTGTCTTGATGAGGACGTTGTTTGAAAATCATGTCAATAAGTAATTGTACTTTCAAAATGAAAGTACTTTTTTTCTGATAAATGTCTAAAAACAAATCATGCCAGAAATATTTTGAAGTCAGTTTGTGTGACAATACCTGATTATGCCATAGGCTTGTCTGTTTAGCATCCTTTACCTGCATGTACAAAGGCAAAAGATTACAAAAGAAATTACTAAATAATAAGTTTCTGATGAGCTTGTAACTGGATTGTGTCCTTCTTTGGTTTATTTATTGACTGTTGTCTGTGGTGATGATTTCAGAGTTTGAGGTGAAGGCTACGGAGAATCCAAGTACCTTGAACTTGTTCACTCTGTGATGTTGAGCTACAGGTGGATTTAGAGGGGGGGTTACATGTACTCCCCTATTCATTCCTCTTCAATTTTCCTCCATCCGCCCCCAAAATGGGACTGTCCACTTTGAAACTTTTTATTCCAGCTGACCTAAAGCCATTTGCTGTGGACTTAGTACAGAGTAGTGAAAAACAAAGTATGCAAATCAAAACAAACCTCCAAAGGTGATCCATGGAGCATTCTATTATAAATACACTGTAGATGTAGTGCTTTGGTGGCTATGGGTCAAGTAATTTTGGCTGTGCTCAGCAAGATAGCAATAGTAGTGAATGCAGTGTGACTACCTGTTGGCCAATCCAGAGACACATTCTGTGGATGAGATGTTATCGGCAGTGCCTCCCTGTGGATAAGTTTGATCAGGGCAATTTCGTCCACCACTAGTTGATTTTCCTTGGTACCAATTCACAAAATACATTCTGGATACCAAGTAAAATTGACAAGTGGTTGAAAAACACTCACTGATCGAACTTGGCTATACACAAGATCGACTCTACAGTGCGATCACATTATACATCATTGCCAGGTGATCTAGCGCCCCTCTTATTCACTTGAGTGTCTATGGTATCAATATTGTTAACGTAACAAACCCATGTCTTGCAGTGCTTTCTCCATGCTGTTTTTGACAGCCTTCATGCATATGCCCAGCAAGAAATGAGACCAAGGGGTACCCCCCCAACATGGCCAATCCCTATACACATTCCAGACTATTGTTACTTANAGGGGGGGTTCTCTCCGTCTCACATTTATCCATGATTCATACATTTGACCTTTGTCAGTTTCCCTATTCAACAATGCGTAATGTGACCATGTATTAATACAGATGATGCCCGCTGTGTGAAAACGTGCTGGCACTTGGATACGAGAGAGTTTAATCCATTGCTATTGGTCAAGAGTCTGTGTGGGCCACAGGATACATACCTCAATAAGCACGCACCAAGTCTATATATATAAGGACTACTTGCACAAAGAATATACCATGAAATGGACGGGGGTGTTTGGGAAATTAAAGTAAAATTCTTGGAAAAAACCTTCGAAATTTTACATACAATGACTTCTTTTGACTCTCGACTAAAACAGTATTTATAAATGGAAATAAATATGTGCTTGGTTGGTCTTAAACTAACTTTTAAGACTGGCTGCTTGGCTGGTCTTATACTAATGTTTAAGACTCACTCAGGGGACTGCAGTTTCCATTCTCCTGAGCTGGTCTTCAACACACGTTTAACTTGACCGGCTAAGCACATATGTATTCCCTTAGTAAAATCAGATATTTGAGTTCTGATTGGCTTAAAATACACACTTACCGGGTTGTAGGGACAAAATGTGTGTTGAAATAAACAGAAGTTATGGGGACCCAATATGTTATGGGGAAAAATGAAATCCCTCAACTCGGTCCAACTTTCTTGACGACAAAACGGTCCCCTTTATGCCGTGCAGGCCTAACCACTTATACTTGCGTCGTGTCCCCGGCCACTGCCGCACGGAGGGAATAATTTCTTGTTGGGAAGGTTGACACCAAGTTATGGGGACAAAAATGACATTTTTTAATCTCCTGACACATCCATGTTTCAGCACACGTGTGTAGCCCAACAACGTACCGGTACTTGCATGTACTTGTTTGGTAGCTATGGGGACTACATAAGTCTTGAAAAAGAGTTTGTGGGAACCAAAAAAGTTGTGGGGCCAAACTTTTGTCCTGCAACTCAGTCTCAGAGGAAAAGAAACTTTCCCTTATGTGTCACCTCAAAGGAAAATGAAACTTTCCCCTATGTGTCATTTCAAAGGAAAGACACTTTCCCCTTTGTGTCACCTCAAAGGAAAAGAAACTTTCCCCTATGTGTCGTACTGGCCTTGTCACACGTAATGGCACCTTAGTTGCGGGGACCACATGTGTTGGAACATGGTGTTTATGGGGGAAGACCTTTTGTCCTTACAATGTGGTCCAGAATGAAATAAAGTAAACTGTCCTCTCAACAAAGTGACAGCCAAGGTACACATGCAGCTTAAACTGCATCATGCACAGGTACGTTTACCATGTTTACCCACTCACGCCTTGAAAACTGTATTCTCCATAAAATAAACAGCATGGCAGTTGAAAGCAATTGGAACTGCATAGGAACAGATAATGTATCTCCTAACAGTTCTTGTAATCATCGTCTCATAACTTGTAAAGTTTTCTTAATGCCATTAGTTTGTCCTGTACATCATCGCTTCCTTCCTCTGCAATTTGGCAGGGCTGAAGTTTGCCACTTTCTCTAGTTTCTGGTAGCACATCTTTAGTTTTGGTTTCACTGGATGCAAAGGCAGATGTTGAGTTTTTCTCAAGACAGCTGGAAGCTTCTTGGAGTTTCTGAAACAACTCCAGACAATCCTGTCTTTCGGGTTTGCTTAAGAAGCCCACCGACAGCCCAAAGCGATTTGTTCTTGACAGACTTTCCAGAATACCCACAATGCAATGACAATCACTCCCTCGAAACTGTTGGTTCAAAACTGTCATGAAGTCACCCAGGAGACCGAAGCCTATCTCGGCCCGGAAAATGTGACCCAGCTGTTCGGAGCCCAGACCCGTGAGTAAATGGTACTTCTCGCTGGGTGCGTCGCCGAGAGTTTTCCAACTTTGTATGAATTCATGGCTTGTCTTTGGTAAGTTGTTTGATTCCTGTCAAGGAGAAATTTTCTTCGTATAAATCATCAGATTTTGAAGTTATACAAAGATTGGCAGCATTCCTTTTGTTCATTAACTGAACATGGGTTCCAACAAGATTTTTTTCAGGGGTGGGGCAAACCACTCTTTTGGGGGGGAGACAAACTAATAATCATTAACAGAGAGGGGGTCAATTGTTAGGGACATTTTTTTCCAAGCAAATTACTAATTTTTATCCCCTTTCATCTCTTTTGTTCTTTTCTTTTGCTTTTCGTCCCCCAGTCTTGGCCCAAGACACCAGTAATTGACAGTGATAGTTCCATTTGTTTGAACAACTTTTCTTTTTCTTTCTGGCACTATACTTGTACAAACATCTTAGGAATCTTGAGGGTGCGGTCGTTTTATACAAATAAGACCGCTGGGTATTTTATTATTAGCACCCTCCAACAAATGGCTATGTATTGAGTACTTTCTAATGAAAATGTGTACTCTTAGTCGAAACTCATGCAACAAACTCACAGGTTCTCTGCCATGCCTTGGATAACCCACCTTGCGAGAGAACTCGTCTTGCTTGGGGTGTTCCTGACCGGCTGTCTTTGAGGTATAAGGGTTCCACGGTTGATTTCGCTTCCCTTCACCAATCTTGTCTTTTTTGTCCAAAGGTTTGATATGAGCAGCTTTCACAATGTCCCTGTTGGCAACCAATTAAAAAAATCACAGAGACTAGAAGCCAGTTCTCAAAATCTGTAGTTTTTGTATACATACAGATTTGCTCTGTAAATTTTTGAACTCATGGTCAAAACTTTTGCAATCTTTTGTCGTCTGGTGTAAATTTAATTTTAGACAATGAATCATCAGAATATCAGTCCTAATATATCTGCACAAATAGAACCTACTAACCGTTGTGGGTAATTCCAGAAATTAGGGGTCCAAAAGTGTGACAGTTTTATGTCCCAGTTACATCTGACCTTTGTTATTTGACATGCAAATATCACCGGCATTGATTTCAAACCATTACTAGTTGTTTGGCAGGTAATTTGCATTAATTCATCACTCTGGGAAATTAGAAAATGTGTTCTGAACTTACAAAATCACATATCAGATGTGACAGAGACACAAAAAAAGGGACCCTTAATTTCTGGAATTACCCTTGTATGATCTGATCTATCAATTCCCTTCACAACATCCACTCACTTAAGTAGAGTGCTTGACAGAGACAATTAATTTTATTCCTAACAATGAGAAGAGATTAATGTGGCTTGTGTGTGAGGATAATCTGGTTTCACTAAATACAGAATTTTGAATTTCATGAAAAGCACACAAGTCCAACTATGAAACACATTTAAACTATTTTAAGGTTACACTGACATTTTGGAAAAGGAGAGTTGGTCAAGGCAGTGTTGTAGTTGAGCTCATCACAAGGCCATTTCAAGTCGAATCACGAGTCCAATCTCAGCCGGGGATGAGCAATGACACTGGAGGAATGTCATTGTCACAGTTGATTTGAAAAGCTGGTGACTTGATTAGGAATGATTAACTTGTGATGGTCTCATCCACACAGACAGTACAAGTTGTTCTCTTACTCTCTATCATACATGCAGTGTGTGTTGGGTGGTCGACTTCCCCCACTTCTGTCCGTCCACCCCCACCTCCCACACAGAAGGCACGCCCACTACAAAGACATTTAATTTACCTGAACTGTTCATACGTCTCGACCCGTTGCTCCACAGCGCGGAATTTGGCGTCATTCTCACGCCAGTAGCGAGCGTCCTTCTGCACGGCCTCATCTAGTTCCTTCTCTAATTTGCCAAAGTCAATCCAATCTTCCTTCAGATGTGCCATGGCTGGGAATGTCAACAGATCATGTAAGTGACGTAACCCCTCCCTTTGATGTATTTTCCTCAGTTCATGTAAGGTCTAAGCATTGACAAACGAGATCAAATATTCATTTTTCACAATTTGTTTTTATTTGGATTACACAATTACAACTTGCCTCCTGGCCAACTCGCACCTTGGCCGTCTTTCCCCAGCCAACTTGTCCCCTCATTAGAAAGTCAGGGCTGGCTACTTTGTAAAATGACCAGTTAGCTATCTTGTGAAAGTCATGATTTTTAAGCAGTGATGAAAGTCGCAATGGACAGAGGAACATTGAGTGGAATTACAAACTTACATTCGTTTGGATGGGGAAAAAATAAATTCTTAATTGCACTTTCAACAGAGTATGTGGGTGCTGCCACTTTGACAAAGAGAGACGAATGGACTCTGTAAAACCCTTTTTAATAGCGCCATGGTTAAACTCTAATCTCTCTGATAAATTAAAACTTCTTTAGAATTTCAGTTAATGAAAAAGGGCAGGCCTAGAGACTCATACAGAATGTACCCATGAAGTTGTAATAACAAGCCTTGTGCACTTTGTTGCAATTGTAAAGATTGGGTAAAGAGGCTAAAAGGAAAAATGTTGAGCAATGCCTGAGATATCATGTTCCCAAAACCTGATGATAGTAACACCTGGTATGTATTTTCCGCGAATGATGTCAGACATTTTTGACCTGACACCGACCAGATTGGCTGGGTCGCACTGGCTGATATTTTGACCTGACACCGACCAGATTGGCTGGGTAGTACTGGCTGATATTTTGACCTGACCCTGACCATATTGGCTGGGTAGCACTGGCTGATATTTTGACCTGACACCGACCAGATTGGCTGGGTAGCACTGGCTGATATTTTGACCTGACACCGACCAGATTGGCTGGGTAGCACTGGCTGATATTTTGACCTGACACCGACCAGATTGGCTGGGTAGCACTGGCTGATCTAGCCCCATAATGTGGCTCATATACTGGACAACCTCCATATACAGTGAGCCACATGATTCAATTCAATTCTCTACTGTCCAGAAAAAAATGGAAACTCTTCTTATTCACTTTACATACACAGTCATCACATATCCACATAATATAACACCATAGTAATTAAGCTTACGATTCATATTCAAATGCTTTATGTAATTAATTTGGGACAGTTATTGAGCATTTAGCTATTATATATATTTTAATAACAGGAGTTTGTCGAGTTTCAGCAAATTAAAGTTTGAAAAGAGGATTGATAGCATTTAAAAACTTAACATACATGCATTAGAGTGTGTGACCATTGTGGGGTTAAAATCACCGTTACAATAGCAGTTGTGATGACTTGTTGAGGAGACGGATTGAGAGTGGGACAAAGGAGTTTGTGAATCTTGTTTTACTACAGTTCATTGATGGGTAGATTTTCCAGATTTCATAAGAACATAATATGAATGAAAGGGGTGATTTTCAGCATTTGCAATTTCTTCACCTTTTTTTTTCAAAACAATGTCGGTACACAATGGCCTAGACCTGTCTCCTCTTTTCATCGTGGCACTTTCTTCAAGTCTTCCTTTCTATAAATACCAAACCTGACTACATGACTACAAATCATTACACTCTCTATAACTGACTTATAGAAAAATCTCAGAATTGTCCGTCCTACCCACATAGAATGAGTTCCTTTCCTCAAAAAACACATTCTATGTTGAGCCTTTGAAAGGATAGGCTTGCATTGGTCTTCCGGTGACAGTTATTCAGTGAATGCACTCAGTGACGGCTGTTCTGTGTCCTATCTCGCAATACGCTTTACATCTTGTAGAGATCCCATCAATACATGCAACATTGACATGCAATAGCCGTTGGTACAATGTAAGACCTTTGGGTGTGCACTGTGTGCTTGACCCAAGGTACAATATGGCTGCCACCATACTAGTTTCAGGTGATTTTTTTTCCGACATTGCTTCGACATGTCGAGACAACTAGCCTAGAGGCAAAGCAACAGGAAATAATTCAGAGGGACTGGTAACATTACCAATATACGCTGTATTGACTTGGGGGATTGCAAATTTGGGGACCCTGTTCCTGTAATATAAGGCAGATCAGGTTGGTGTCGAGGTTTTTCCTCGTCTTCCACATCTGTGGTCCCGGGTTCGATCCCTGGCCTGGTCCACATGTGGATTGGATTTTTAGTCCCTTTCTGATTTTATGGGTTTTACTCAGAATATTCTTCTGGGGTTTTCCTCCCACCTCTAAAACTGTAACTGCTTCTCACTGTCTCCTCTCTACAGGTTTCTTCAGGCTTGCGAGCTACAGTGCCTAGGGTGCTTTTGAGGAATCCTTGGTGTCATTACCAGAAATGATCAATAATATTTGTAATATTTGTAGGGTTGATGTTGTCAAAAAAGGGCAGTGTTTTGACAGAAAATATGAGGGGAAACTGTGACCAATTGACCATGGCGGATTCAAATTTGCACAGTTGGTTTATCAGTAAGAAAGTCACATTTTCTCACAATTTACAATTTGAAATTTCCCAAAAATAGGGTCAGCGTAAATAAAGAGAAAATTGCCTTTGGTTTTGGGGGCACTGACCAGTTTTACAAGATTAAAATGACACAAAAAATGGGAGGGGGGGTACCCAAGTATAAACTCCTCTTGACTTGAACGCTTGGAAAAAATTGCCAATCTCATTTTGGGGGAGCCTTAGCAACGGGGTCTCTCCACACATAACACGAATGGTATTGTGTGGCTGGTACATGTATTATGAACCACATTATGAGGCTGGCTATGGCCAGTTACTGGACAAGTCGACCGTTAAGACAAGTTGTCTGTCAAGACAAGTCGACTTTGACCCAGAGACAACTCAACTATGGGAGGACTGCATAGGTACGTGGCAAGCGTGTGCGAACGTTAAGCTGTAACTTAGCACAAACTGCAAGGCGACGTGTTTGGGCCAAATTTGCAGGAATTGCATGCACAGGCCTCAAGGCACAGAACACGCGGGAATGGTTTCACAACTAGTGGCAATGGATGGTGCATGCACGGCATGGTAAAGGTACGATCCTAGGCCTACCATCTTCTCCTCTATTCAACTTCTTTGAATTTTACTTTCTTTGATGTAAAAAGTGCGCCTTGTTGAAAGGAATGCTGGTCAAGTCGTACGTGTGCCAGCTTGTACCCCAGCCTCAACAAACTTACGAGTTCCACCCACAAGTTGGCATGATGGCCCTCACAGTGTGCACCATAGCTAGAAGAAACCCAAATAAACAAGTCAACCTGTCTTAACGGACGACTTGTCTCGATGGTCAAGTTGTCTTTCAGTTTGACGCAGACGGTCGAGTTGTCCCAACAGCCAAGTTGTCTGGACCCCCTATGGCCAATCATGCAGATCAAATCCAAACAGACATTTCTAAAAGGGTATCGGTCACTTTGCCCCTTTCCTACTTTGCCCCATTTCAACCTGGCCCCACTGATTATCATACATTCTTTTCTTTCAGCTTTAAGAGAGGCATGCAACAAATAAAAAAGGTTTGAGTACCTTGCCAAGTCAGAGGTTCCGATTCAAACACGGCAAATGTTAGGCCTAGTCTTGCCCCAAGACTGGTTTTACTGTTTTGGCTAGTGCACTGTGCAGGGGGGACATGCACTGGTGAGCACAGCCAAATAGCACTACCAGTAGTGGGCTTTTACCATGAATAATTGCCCATGCGCAATGCCAAAAACCGCAGTCTGCATGGCGCGCGGTCTTTGGCAGTGCGTAAGGGCATTATTATTCATCAACTTGACCACATGAACTATGCTCGGAATTTTTCGGTTAAGCCTGCCAGATGTTACAAGACTGGTTTTCTCTGGCAGGTTGTCTCTTGTGAATGTAGCACCCTCTACTGGTAGTGCTATTCGACTGTGCTCACCAGCACATGTCCCCCTGCACGGCGCACTAACCAAAACAGTAAAACCAGCCTTGGGGCAAGACTAGCCTAGGCCTTGTCCACGGGATACATGTATTAATATAATCGTATCATCTCTTCATCAGAATTAAATAATTGCCAGAGACAAAGCGGAGATTGTGCAGTTTTTGGTTCCTTTTTTCGAGAGGTATGTCACACAAAAGTAATTCAAACACAAAAATACCCCGAACGAAAGCATTAAATAGAAGAGAAGGGGAGACTTGGGGAAATGTTCATTTTTGTTTCATTCATTAATCCAACCTTATTTCAGCAAGGATACCCCAATACGTAAATGAAATGCACAACTTATCAAAATGCACAGCTTCACGTGCTACGGGCCCATGTGTGTTTTACATGCCTCTTATATCCATTAGCGGACCACAATTCAAAGTGGATGTGAAAGGCAGCTGAAAACACTCCGATCCATATATAACCACTTCACTGACTTCCATTTACTCTAAAGTTGGCTTCGAAGGATGCGGACTTAGTAACGTCCTGTCTATGTAGTGATGAGCCACTGAACTATTCAGTATAAATCTATTCAGTGCTGGCTTGAGATTATGACGTCAAAAACGTGTCAGAAACAGCCTAAAACTGGGGGACACATCTTTCATATTCTTGCCTAAAAAATAAAAATGTGAAGTGGATGACAGTGACAACCAGAATGATGTAAATATTGTACGGAATTTTTTAGGCAATTTAGAATAAAGAGGATGTGAAATTACCCCAATACAAGTCCAATGCCATAGAGTTTTCGTTCTGGTTCGTAAGTGACTAGGTCATACACACGGCCCGGACGCGCCACGATTTGCAAGCTCCAATCGAACGATCGCCGAAGTTGCGCGCTAACTTCCAGTTCCATGTTTCCGTGTAAACGGCGATCAACGCATGTAACTCTATGGCCGTTTTCCTTATACTCAACTTCGTCTCCGTCTCAGGCTACGTTCCCAACTCAGGCTTCGTCCCCGAAACCAATCCCCGATTGAGGCCTGCAGCGTTTAAATCAAATTGGATTACTGTAAGTTTTTGCTCTCTTGCATCTTATTTGATGTTTTGTGGCACCATTAGACTACTTAGTGCGTTTACAGCTTCAAAGTCAGGGAGTAAAAAACAGTTGAAGCCTGAAACGGAGCCGAAGTTGAGTATTGGAAAACGGCCTATGTGCAGTGCATGTAAAGTGGGCGTGGTAAAACTGAAGTGACGTCTCACTTACGAACCCGTAATAATAACACGCTCGAGCATGGACGGGGCAAAGTGGAAATGGGGCGAAGTGGGGATAAGCCATATCGCAAATACTGCATGGGTGATTTTGCACAATAGCAGAAAAGCATTGTGGGAAGGAAAAAGGAGCAAACATCGCCCCTTTTTGCCTTCCTACAATGCTTTTTTTACCATTTTGCAAAATCACCCATTCAGTATTTGCGATAAGGCTTATGTTACGCATCCTCCGCCTGGACGGAGGATGTCTCACTACTTCATTGACAACAGTTCTTAAGTTCGATTCGTGGACGATTCTTATCTTGTTTACCTTCACTAAATCACCACCAGACCACAGAGTTACGAAGGGCTATGCGTCAACGCCATGTCCATGGAAACTAACCCTAAACATCAACAGCGTGCAATGTGCATGCACATACTGTAACATTACCAGGCCTCCACATGATATCACTGACGACGCCAACCCAGTGACTTCCTATGTTAAGTAGCGCCCTCTAGCTGTGCCATTAATCCACTTTTGAGGGATTGCTCTGAGCTACGATTGGCTTCAAGTCCGCCAACGTGGGAAAACTTGACCCATTTTATCCACTCGCGCGTCGTTGCTTTGTACTGCCTCGGGGCACCAGCAACTTTGGAGCGATCCTTGTAATTAATAATAGTCCATGAAAGAAAGGTCATCAGACGGTTCATTTCATGGGACACAAAGTAGGTCAGTGGGTCAACCGAATCTCTTTCACTCTGTGCCAGCATTTCACCCGTGATATACTCGAGCACTGCTGTTTACATTTTAACTGTTGAACCTGTGGCTGTTCACCGACACTTTTGTACTTGTTTGGTTGCACTACACTGTCCAGAAAAGTTGGAATTTAAACTGAGACAGAGCAAGATAACGGGACGGAGTGGGCCTACTGCATTCCCGCGCAGTCACGCTTGCTTTTGTTTTAGAAAGCGTTCGTCGTAGGCAAAGTGCAGACTGGAATCGTGTGTAGCCTATGGTGGACAGAAGGCAACTGAAGTTAAGCAGTGAGTTTTTATGTTTATGTCAAACACAAATTTTTAAGTTTGTACAATGAGAAAAGACGGTATAGGTGCTGCCTATATTTTTAGGACGAATATGGGCTGACTGGGCAAGCCGAACTTTTGTTAGCAAATTTCTCTACATTTTGATACGTAAATATTTTTCAATACCTAGGCCTAGCTACAGACTACAGTAGGCTAATTTAAATGCCAAACTTTGGGCGGGGGATATTTTCTTTCTGAGGTATAATCTCAGATTACATTTAATAAAGCTGATCGTGTTCAAATTGAATTGATCTCTTTGAACATGTTGAAAGAATTTTACAAACTGATTCATTAAAACCTGTTTTTACAGTCATTGACAGTGTTTGAGTTTAAAGATGCAGTAAAATGTTTAAAATTCTTAAAGGTGTAATTGTGACATTGTGTAGTATTTTAAAATTCTGTGTAACTCTTTTGAGTTGTATCTCTGTACATGAACCACTTCAAAAAGTGTTTTTACAGTAAGTGGGCCTATGCAATCAAAAATTAAACTCAGTCTAAAAAATACTTTATAAAAGTTTATCCCATATGTTTGTGCTTTAAATTTTATTTGAAATCATTGTTTAAAGCAAGTCACTCTTTTGAATACCACTTGGCAACCTGTGCACAAACTCTAGGAAACTGGTCTGAAAATTCAAAGTGTTTTCTGTGTGAATATTTAAATATGTTCAGTGCTAAATGTGACCTTTAAAGTCATGTTGTTACTTTCAGATGGCTAATAGGTACATGTAAATGTTAGTAAAAATTAGTGCCGTCATCAGTAGATAAAATTCTTTCCCCAAAAGTGTGTTGCAGCTTGTATGATTTCTTCTATCAAATGATGGATGATAATTACAGGTCCTGGTTCCATGAGGCAGTTGGCGTCCCTAAATATCGAAACATTGAGTATACTCCCGGTTCTTTTCAGAACCACGCATACAGTGTACATGTACTCATAAGAGAAATATTCCTTCGCATGGTGCTACTGCAAGCCTTTCCACCTATTGCTGTCTTTCACCAGGAATAGCCTGAAATTCCATCTAAATATGTTCAACAAAAAAAACAAAACAAGACCAAAAAACCTAAGCTGATAACAAGCTTTGTTAAAAGAAGAACAATATTTCTTTAATTAGTCTGAAATTTACCAATTAAAACTATTACTTGAAAGAAATCTTGCATGGCGTCAATGGAAGTTCCTTTGTCAAGTAAAGTTTCAGTTAAAATAGGGGAGAAACACAGCACTGTGATTTAATAAAACTTATCTCTGACTGAAAGCCAACTTAACTGAGGAGTTGGGTCATGGATAGACACTAAATAATCAACAACTATAGCTGTGAATGGAATGGGGCTTTTTGTTGGTGTTGGTTTGATTTGTGGTGCTGAATCCTTTTCAGTAAATTATGCCAGTGAAATTGTTTGTTGTATGCAGAGAAATTTTGTGGCAATTTTACACATAGTATATACACAGTAGGGTACATGTACACAAACACATATGCTGAAAAAATAGCTGCTACTCCGTACATGTATGCAGCTGAAACCGACAGAACTTCTTGTACAGGCACTATGTTGAACTTCTTATAAATTTAAGAGTCTTAGTTCCTGGAATTGTTAATCAATGGCACCGGTGCTGGAAATGTAAAAGATCTCATAGAATTGTTGCTAACCACATCCTACATGTTCATGTACACACATTTCCCCCAAGGGTCACCAGAACAAAATCAAATTTGCAAGGTTCAAGCGAACAGTGGATGGGCTACACTGGGCACTACACTTTTTTAGCAATAAAACCTCAGTTTCTGATGGTATACAAAAGGCCTGCAATGTGTGGTCGTTTTTGACGAGGGCTTTAATTTGATTGATATCTTATGCATGTTTTCCCATTTTCCTTCTTACCCTTATCAATATTGAGAACCACCCAATATTGAGAACCACCCAATATTGAGAACCACCCAATATTGAGAACCACCCAATATTGAGAACCACCCAATATTGAGAACCACCCAATATTGAGAACCACCCAATATTGAGAACCACCCAATATTGAGAACCACCCAATATTGAGAACAACCCAATATTGAGAACCATATATCCCATTCAAGTTTAATATGTGCTACATGTACATGTATACACGCTCTACCACCTGTAGTTTGTGCAGAGACTTTGTAGTACAGCAGCATTGTGCAACATTGCTCTGCCAAATCCAAAGTTGTAATTTTGGTCATCATAATTAGAGAAACATACAATGATTTGGTGACATTTTGGATGATTTATGGTTCTTAATGGGGCTCGTCAAAATGTGACATACATGTACATGCGCCAGGGATTTCCGTATTATCTGCCTCTCTCTTTTCCCCTTTTATTCTCAGATAGAGTCAACGTTTTGTGACAGGCGACGAGAAATATAACTGCAGTATCTACATCAAAAATTCTTGTTTTGGTGGAAACGAAAATTGTAAAGCTTGAAACATAAGACTATGGAATGGGAGTCTAGAGATCGTGTGGGATCAGGTGTACTAGGTAAGTTTATTCAGATTTGGCGTGATTTTCGTATGAATGGTTATTTTCTGCGTTAGTATGTTCTAACTTCAGGTAGGCCCACTATTGTCTGCACAGTTGGGCCTGACCAACTTTGAGAAAAAGAGTATGTGCAAGCAATATGTCATAGAATTGTGCTGAAGATGAAATAAGAAAAATAAGGAAAAAGAAACCAGTATAAAGTAAGAAAAAGATTGATTTTGAAAAGAAGTCAGAGGAGAGCAGGCAGTGATTTCAGTAATGAGGATGTGATATTTATACGTTTAAACATTTAAACGAAAAAAGTTCAAAACATGTTTACAGATTTTCCAAAACATTTCAGTGGAACCTGTTTATTTCCAGGTTTGACAGAGTTCATTTCAAACAGTTCAAATAAATTTGATCCTCCTAGTGGCATGTAGTGATTTTTTCCCTTTCTGCGTCCACCCACCTTTTGGGGGGGGAAAATTGAATTTAAAGCAAGACACATTTCTTTCATGTATTTTGAATGCCCCAGCATTGATCTACATTTCATACACTGGGCTGATCATGCACATTGTTGAGCTACATGTATAATACCAAGGTAGGTGTCAGCACCCTCTATAAAGTGTTGGCCAAACATTTAAATGTATAATTGCATGGTAGTTGACAGTTCTTCTTAACATTTATCAGATGTAGATTCCCTTCTTTGGTTAGTAATGAAGCAATCATTTGTTAAAACCATTTTGAAAACAGCTCAACTCTTGCAGTATAATGTGCTCTTTTTATATTCAATTCTGCTAAATAACCACAGTTGGGCATGTCCAACTGTGTCGACAAAGTTGGATGTGCCCCAAGTATAAAAGGCATCCTTTTATACCAGAATGCCCCCAAGCACTTCCGCTTCCAACCGTCCCGGATTTGGCAAAACCCACCACCATGCAGAAAACCATCAACACATTCCCTCTTACTTGGAATTTTCAAGGGCCACCCAGCCCAGAACACTAGTGGCTTGGCCGTAAGTTTCTCCATCCTTCAAGGAGTCTTGAAGGATCTGACAAAATGAAAGTTTGGCAGTTACCGTAGGAGAGGATACAATGTACATTTTACTATAGAGGGTTTACACTGCAGCCATGTTGCTGGCCAGTGCTTTTGTTCCATAGGGTTTGCACAATGGAGGTTTCCCTGTGGAACAAAAGAACTGCCCTGCACAAGGTTTGGGTTGCCATGATTGTCACAGTCTGTCACTGCATGTGATACATAACTGCAAGTTTCTAGATTAGTCAGTTGATATTTGAAAGCAAGTCATAGTTTCTGAGTGCGTGATGAATTCACTGGTGTGTAAGTTTCTGTATGAATACATCAAAGTAAAATTAACCTGATTTCTTTTTTGAATTAAAAATCTGTCACAAAGCTTTTAAAGTGAACTTTGCAGATTTTTTTCTAACAGTGTTTTCTCCAGTTTTTGTTTTGTTTGTTTTTCTTTGCCTTTCTTCAGACATTCAATACAGACTTGAATTCATGGATAATGCGAAGATTGGACAGTAAACATGGACATGTATATCTTTTTTATACTGGAACATTGTACATAAGTTAAGATTGCATTTCCATCCATATTTGTACATGTATGTGTATTTCAAATTTGAAAATTGCTTCTTCTTTTTTAGACACTTAAGAAAATCATCAAGATACAAAGATTTGTGTATTTCAGGCACTGGGAATCTGTGCCGGAATGCTAGGTTATTGTAAGTCATGAAGGTGAGCAGCCTTTGTGGTCAGGTGACCCATTTCAATAATATTTGTTTACAGGGAGGAATAATAACCCCAAACTGAGTGACCCTAGTTCACCACTTTTGTTTTGTTTTGTAAGATAACAGCCGTGACACAGATGAACATTGCATTGTGTAAAGCTTTATCAGTGGCAATGCCTTTGCAGTAACCGAGTTAGATATGCACGTACATGTACATGTACATACGTGTACATGTACGTAAATACTTCACAAGTACATTTATGGAAGCTGCTCTCAGAATTTTTCTGTGAATTTTTGATAGGCTCTAGTCATACAATATTAAAAGCGTGATAACAGACTGAAGGAGCAGTTCAGAGATTGAATCTCATGCAAATTTCTCGGGCATATAGTACCTGTACTTAGCATCTGACTTCCAGGCGTACATGAACCGGTATTTACCCATGGATCCCAAAGTTCCTTTTTTACCAGAAAACACTCTTTTCTGAGAGATTATGGCAAAGGTTTCCCTGATCCTCCATCTGAATTGACATATGTTAGGCATGTCAAATCTGCATTCATGTGCATGTATGCATACACATTGTGGACTGATGTACCAGTACTAGCATGCAACTTCCTGAAATGTAGTCTCCACTCCTTCGAAGAATAGTCAAGACCTTATAACCGAACATTACTTTGTTATTTAGTAGTTTTATGTGATGACGGATGTGTCTTTGTACTGGCCATGTTTGTCCAGACTACCTGTACGTACGGTGTACTTTTGCGTAGAGGCACACAATAACTAGCAACCTATATGTACATGTACATGTACTGGTAATCTCACAAGTCTGTTGATCAAACCAACAAATATTCTAAATACCTTGCACATTAATGATTAACTGTACATAACAGTGCCACTATCACTAAATTAATGTCCTGAATTTATCTACACCTTTGTTGTCATTTTTCTACCATCACAGCGGCCTAGAAAGAATGACCCTGTCACCCCCACAATTAGGAAAGGAAACAAGTGTGGCTATTTATTTCACTGATTGACAGAGTGATCAGAAAAAAACTGAGATACAGAGTCAACCAAAATTGCTTACCTTTTATAGAATTGTTTATTTTGTTTTTGCAACAAAATGAACTCACGCTGAGTCAAATTTATGCCCCCAAAATAAACTGTCTGAATCGTTACCCAAACATACATACATGTACTGTGTGCTGGTATGTACAGTACATGGGCTTGTCCAAAACACAGACATGACCTACTATAGGTGTATACTCCTTTTGTCTAGACTCAGTGAGAATGGAGTCCTTCTTTTGAAACCCATAGTGGTGTAAACTCCACTTTTTAAATTGTTTATTATTTAGGTTTCTGAATCTTTTTTTTCTGCTTATACCCTTCAGGAGCTCACTTCTCAAAAACTGATATAACAGTACCGGTACATGTAAATTTAGGGGCGTGTACCTGAACCCTCTAAAAATCAGCCTGACTTCTGTATTAAATCGTGTTGCTCATTTTGCACTCCAACAAAATGGAGCATAAAGCCTTTGTAGGTGAAAAGCATGATGGCTTGGTTTCAGTGAGCTCAATGGATTGAAATGATTTACATCCCGTAAAGGTAAATTTTTTAATGAATCCACCGCACTGCAGTGCACGCAGAGGGTTAAAAAGTTAACAGGAATATTGTTTGCCGACCCGAAGTACCGTGAATGCTGTTACCAAACTTTGAGCGCCCTTGGAAACAATTGTATTGCTGCTTCATGTTCTGAAATTTTAATGGGTATTGTCGATGAACTTTTCACAATTGTTCATGCTTTTTTCCCACGCCATTGCGACGTTTACTGGGTCAAGGCATTGCCGGATCATTGTTATTCTTCCTTTGGGTGTGCGTGTTGTGTTTCTTGTTCCCATCAGAAAAAGCAAACTGGAAAAGGAAATAGTTGAAGGATGGTATTGTGAAACAATCCCCTGAAGCAGTTTTGTGCCACAGGAATTATTTTTCATGTATCACTTGAAATCAGTATACAGTAAATCAGGCTCAATTATCTTTAAAATGTACACTTATAAACCTTTGTAACAATGAAGCATTTAATCTACTTAAAGAGCACCTCTAAGGAAAAGCGTGTTTTGTCTGATTTTATCTGTTCAAATGAATATGGAAGCATCCAAATCGAATGCAGTGTAATTTGTTTTCAGAGCTCAACTACATGTTTAACAAGTTAAACATGTTAAAAAGAGCTTTTTTTTCTATTTATGCCAAGATGCGAATTCTTAATGTAGATTGCATCATTCTGAGAAAACAAGGGGAACCCTCGCCCTGTGTTCGTAGTGGATAAACCCTCGTGCATGTAACAAATTGCATGTACCGGTACATGTAGCCATTGTGTGTAGCCATTGTTTGGCATGCATAAGGGTTTATCCACTACAAACACAGGGCAAGGGTTCATTTTCTCTCTTTTCTCAGAATGATGCAAGCTACATTCAGAATTAGCATCTTGGCACAGAAAAAAAGCCCTTTTAGCTTGAAATAGTTGAGCTCTGTAGACAAATGACACTGCATTCGATTTGGATGCTTCCATATTTATTTGAACAGATAAAATCAGAGAAAACATGTTGTCCATAGAGGCGCTCTTTAAAATATAATGTACTGTACAAATGTAGTATGTAGTTTAAAATAATGGTACAGTGCAGGACTGCATTGGACCAAAGGGGAGGCTACATGTGTGAAGATATGACACTCTAGGAATAACACTCTAGCCTTACACTTCTCAAAAATAAGTGAATAAGTTGTTTTTTTTACAAGTTTCTGAGCAATGAAGATGTTTCATACTGTTGCCCATTTTGGTCATACATGTGTTTACGTGGAGTCACTTCCACACCACCGAGTTGTGTTCCACAAACTGAACTTTTTTCCAAAGGGGATTTCCTGTAAACTTTAAGTGAACCCAGAAATGTCTGGACCTGTATCCTCCTCTCATTATTCCCTGAAGCATTTATGTTATTTCCCTTTTGAATGTACTCAGTCCTGCATGTATACATCTACCTCCATAAGTATATGTACTGAGTAGTACATACATTGTACATGTACATTACATGTATGTACATGTACATGCACATTACATGTACAGTGGTATAACCAAGTCATTTTTCTACAAAATAAGTTACAACTCATTTTACCACAAGTCAAGTAAAGTCACATGTCATGTGTTTTCCAAGTAAAGTCCCACATCCTAGGTCTTTTTTTTTCAAGCCTCTGTGTTGTTCAATTTGCACACTTTTTCTGACAACCT